ATAGTAACACCCCTGCACCTGAACGCATCCATTTTGTCCTTGTCTTTGAACTGCCATGACTCCCAGTTTATAATAGTTTATTGTGAAACAAAGCAGAAGTTCCACTTCAGTGTTTCCACTAGTTTACTTGCCTTGGCAGGGTGCTCATATCTTCTGTGATTTCTGTAGACGGGGTGGTGGAGACGGAGACGCATCTGTGTGCGCTGTTTGTACCTCCATACACATGGCTTTTTAGCTAGCGCGTCTGTATTTTGCACCTCTAACTTAGTGCCATCAACGGGGTGGGGGGGCAGAGACACGTCTATGTTGCGCGCTGTCTGTACTGACGGTTTTCGAGCGGGGGGATGGGATGAAACGGAGCGTTACCTCCATAGACATAGCTTTTTAGCTAGCGCATCTGTATTGCTCGCCGCTAGCTAAGCGCCACCAGTTTTTGACGGGGTAGGGGGGTGGGTTTGGTAGTCAGGGCGCTCGGTTCTGTTGACAGGGCGGGGCGCCCTGCTTGTATAATGGTAGAGTCATGGAGAGACGACCTCACGTCCTTGTTGCTGTTTCCGGTGTATTTTCATGGCATCGCCCCCTACAGGCCTGGCATGGCTATAACAGCACTTTGGGTTGTTTTCAACGTCTCCGTGTGGATAGAAACCTTTCTAGAAACGGTACAAGGATATTTTTAGAAATGACAAATAAAAATATGCGTCCGTGTGGACGAGGCCACAATCACAGTGACGGGTTTTGTGTGTGAGAGAGATGAGACGATAAAGTTTATGTTCATTTATCGCCCGTATCTTGTCTGGACAAAAGGTCAAAGTTCATTTTTGGAACAGCACGCCTGCTGTTAGAAGCAGTTCATTGTACGGGCTGTGCTTCTGGCGTCCTGCCAGTGTGTTTGTGCAGGTAGGTGTGTGCGTGTAATTGCTCAGTTTGGTATGCGTGTGTGTTTTGGTGGAGGTGGGGTGGTTGCAATCCGTCCCTAAGGGAGCCAATGAAAGAAAGCAGCGGAGCACAAACCACAGGTTTGCTCCCCTCCCTCCTCCTCCTCCTCGTTACCTCCTCTATCCCGGCTGTCAGGTGGAGGCAGCGCAGCAAAACAAAGTGAACCGCGGTCAGACACGGCCGTCCGCCTCCTCCACTAATGAGGGAGCGTTGCCTCGTTCCGATGAGTGTGTGCAACTGTTTGCGCTCGCCCACTAACCCGTCACTCACTGTGCCTGTTCTCCAACTTCTTTCAGATCCCGTCTCCGTCAGAACTCAGGTGAGCAGCTGTGTGTGTGTGTGTGTGTGTGTGTGTGTGTGTGTGTGCAGAAGCTGCAGCCGGCGACGGTGACTGTTCGTTTGTGTGTTTTCACCCTCACAATGTTTTCAAGGAGCTCCAAACTGCTGGATAATTAGTGTTTCGCTTACAGAAAACTGAATAAACACGCGCGTGTGTGCGCTGGTAGGTTTGATGGGCCGGCGAGACGAAAGTTGCAGCGTTTCTTTCCTCGCTGCACGGGCCTCTGGGAGGAGCAGGTCGGCGTCAAACGTTCGGACCGTGCGCTCAGCAGAAGAGCGGAGCGAACTGATTTCATTCGGAGTTGTAGAATTGATCTGGAGGTTGTGCTCGTCTCGACGGACTGAGCAAAGTTCAGTGGATTCAAAGCTCCGGAGCAGCGGCTGCACGGTTTGCGCTCTGAGTGTAACTGTTTGTGTGTTTTTTTTACAGGGCAGGACCAAAGATCCAGGTAAGCAGCTCCTCTCGGCTCCTCCCTCCACTTTTATACGTCTTTAATTTGATCTGTTTATAACACGCATCACCTGATCCTTGGTATTTAACTGGGTAGTCTGTTGTTTCTCTCACTAACCGCCGTGTTTGTTGTGATTATAATCTTATCAAATTAAAGATTTGCTGCTCCTCAATCCAGATTTTTAAACTAAGCTCATCTTGTGTTGTCAAATCTACAGCAACATGGGATTTTGTCTGTTAGCACTAACAATATATATCATTATTGAAGCTTAGCTACGTAATTTCTGTGTTGACTGAGGTCAAATACCTGAAGCGGCCAATTGGACTTTAAAATTTGCCGATCCAATAATTAAATATGACAAACTCGTGGATACAGTCATTTGAGGGTTTTTATGTCTTTATCTAATTTAGAATGAGGAATAAAGATGACTTTCTTATTTATTTTTTTTAATTTGCCCAGCAAGGTGTTCAAAATAGTTATATATATTAAAACAACAGCCCTTTGCCGGCCTAAGTCGGGAGTTTTTTACATCTGGGGATTCAACAAGGGAGATGTGCGCCTCAAACTGAGCTGCCACCGCATGCCGTTTCTCTGCTCCAACAGTTTGCGCAGAATAACGTATCAAGCCTGCATTTAGAATGAAATACACACTTTTTTCATTTTTAAATTTAGAAATTACTGCCCACGATGGGGGGAGTGGTTGTGCAGAGGTTAGAAAAGGCGAGTGTGATCGGAAGGTTGCCGGTTCGACTCCCCGAACCAACAACATCAAAATGTGGGTGGGAAAGATGAAACACCTGCCTCCATCCTTATTTGCTCCACTCTGAGCCCTTAACCCCCCAGATGGCAGCTCTCTGCTCCACACAGAGGGCTGCGGTTGTGTCAGGAAGGGCATCCGGCGTAAAAAAAAGCCAAGTCTTTGTGCGAGTTAGTTCGCCGTGGCGACCACTGACGAAGGGAGCAGCCGAAAGAAGAAGAAGAAAAACAAACAAAAGCATCTCAGCGCTGTTCGCGACATTCTGCTAGCGCGAAATATTCATCCACTTCTGAACGTCGTCGAGAAAATCAACCCACAACTCGCTCGGCTTTACGGAGCGGGTAGTGGGCGCAAATGATGGAGAACAACGGAGCAAAAACGAGGCTCTGCAGCGTCTTAGTGGGTCTGGCTCTTATTGTAAGTGAAGATCTGAACATGTTTAAAGTCATTCCCGTCTTCGTTTGTGTTGAACATGGCCGTGCCTTTAACCGCTCCGGAGTCCGCCCTCGTTTTCCCACCGCTCCATCCAGTTCGCTGCAGAAAATGATTTCTGACTGGCGACGCGTTCAAATCGATAGGCGTTTGATTGCTTCGGTCCACTCCTTTTCATAATACGTCACCGCGCCAGTCTTTGTCGTCTAAGGTGCACGAGCGCGCGGCCTGTCCTTGTGTGGATATGAAGGCAATTCATGCCCTCGAGCCAGGATTCTCCACGGCCCGGCGTCTTCAGAAGTCCCACTGAGGCAGCATGTCAGGCTGCATATCGCTGCTGACTCCTCCATTTTCACCTTCTCCTTGGTGCTTTTATACACGCCGCTTCTGTTCCTTTATTTCTTTACGTAATCTGTGAATATGTGAGCTGCGAGGCTGGGATTTATGTGTGGGAGCTTCATAATGACAAACTGGGATTGGGCCTCGTGGTGACTGATGTAATCCCAAACAGCAAACACAAAAAGGTCTCAGAATGCTGCCGTGCCCGAACGCAACGTTTTCGTTTTAAATGTAATTAAAAAAAAAAAGGGCTCGGATCTGTCATCGCCAGCAGAGTGAGATAGTTCAGATTTTTATTGAGACAATAAACTTTCACAATCTGCTGCTAATCATAATCTGGCTCCTGCTGGTGTTTTGTCTGTAAGCTTGATAGGCAGCCGTCCAGCAGGGTACAGGTCAGCACGTCAGCCACAGCTATCAGAGATAACAGCCGAAATTAAACTAAACCTGCCATAACTTTGTTTAGAATCGTAAAAATGAAGCTTAATCTGTGCACAAAAAACAAGTAAAGCCTCATTTTTACAGCATTAGTGGCTAAAACGAGTTTATTTTCACTGTAGATTGTTGAAAATCAGACATTTGATGACATTTTATTGGAGAATTGGAGTTTTAGTGTTTAGTTCATAACGGATAAGTGATTTTTTATTTTATTTGAGGTAATTATGATCAAATAGTTAAATATTCCTGTGTCGATGTTTGGTTTTAATTTGTCAGCTGACAGTTTTAATCCCCGCAGCTGTTTAATATTGAACAGCACAATATTTCCCATCCGTCTTTTTATTGTGTGAATGTTTATGAAGCGTTCACACCATTGTTGTCCATTTTTCTTCAGTACGTTTTTCGGCTTGATTCTCGTCCCGCAGTTTTCAAGTTATTTCAACGGATCATAAATCAAAACGTTCAGCTGTTTCAGAATAAGGGCACTAGGACTGTTATTGGTGCAACTTTAGCTTTTTTGAATTATTTAGTCTTTTCCATCATTTTTTTCTCATAGAAAATGAATTTACATCCTTCAAATGTTTAGACGTGTTTACAACGTTTTACTGCTCCTTCCACATTTTGTTCTGCTTCAGCTTCTTTGTGCAAATTTAAACTTTTTCAGCTACTTTCAAATAATTTCAGCTGTTTTGTGCTTCTTTCAGATTCTTTCTGCTAACTACAACAGCTTTGTTCTTCTAATTTATTTCTGCTAATGTCAGCTTGTTATACTCTTTTCAGCTTATTTCAGCAATTTTCAGCTTTTTCTAGTATTTCAGCTGTTTTTATGCTAATTTAAACTTTTTCAGCTCATTTCAACATTTTCAGCCTAATTCAGCAAACATGTTCTCTCTCCACTTCCTTCTGAAAGTTTCAGCTTCTTTCTGCTTTTGTAGCTACTTTTTAGCTGTATTTTGCTAATTTCAGCTTTTTTCAGAACATTTTCCACTTTGTTGTGCTTATTTATGCTTCTTTCAAAAAATGTGATCTTTCCGCTTTCTATTAGCATGTTTTAGCTAATTTCAGCTGCTTTCAGATAATTTCAAATGTTTTGTGGTAATTTCTGCTACTTTCAGCCTAATTAACTTCTTTCTGCTAATTTCAGCTTGTTATGATCCTTTCATCTTATTTCTGCAAGTTTAAGCTTTTTCTGCTATTTCAGCTACTATTTAGCTGTTTTATGTTAAATTAAGAATTTTCAGCCCCTTCCGCTTCCTTCTGGTAGTTCAAGCTTCTTTCTGCCTTTTCAACTACTTTTAAGCTTTTTTTTCTGAAAATATATGATCTTTCTGCGTTCTTCTGCTAACTTAGTCTTGTACATCCATTTCAGCTACATTTCAGCAATTTTTTTAGATCATTTCAGCTGTTTTTCAGCAAGTTCTTCTGCAACAAAGCATTCACACTGTATTTTCGCAGAAAATGCAATTTCACTCATTTGAATTTCTGCTCATTCAAAGTATTTTTTATACATTTGGCTTTATACTTTTATACTTGGCTATATTTATGTTTTTTACTTTGAGGTGTAAAAATAGTTTGAATAAATATGCCCCCCCCCCCCCCCGGTTATTAACTGACTGGACTGGACTGTTCCTTTGAGGAGTTTTTCAGCCAAATCTCTGCTTGTTGCAGGTCTGCCCAAGATGCTGGTGATCAGGAACTACTTTGGCGTGCCAAGCCCCACTTCTGGTCCGGCGCTCACCATCCAGACGGGCGACATCATCGAGCTGGTGTGCGCCGACCTACACAGTCCCTGGTGGCAGGTCAGACCTCCCTCTGCCGGATGAGTTGGAACGGTTTATTTTTATTTTAAGTTCAAGTCAGCATTACAGTTACAGATATGTTTGTGTGAACTTCACAGTAAATTGGATACTTGGGGCCTAAAGCGATTCCACTCGTGCTCAGCGCTGAAGGGATCCGGTGTGTTTTGACAGTTGTTGCTAACAAGCTGCAAACAGACGTGATCTTCAGAGCCGCTGACAATTAAAACACACAAGCTGCACTTCTCACGGTGGATTTGTTGTTTTATGCAACGGTTAATGTTTCACGCTGTCAAACTTGATTCGAGCTTCACTGGAAGAGGAGAAACAATCTCTTCTTTGAAAGTTCAGACGGCGCGCAGGAGCAAGAAGCTAAACCGAAGAAGAACGAGCGACGGGGGCGTTGGGAAAAATTTTCTTTTTTGGGCTCAGAATCTGATTTAATCAGAATCATTGAGAACAGCTAATGAAAAGAAAAAACAGAAAACTAAAGAAGCTGCTGTAAAACCAAAAGCAGTTTTTGAAGGTTGAGTGATTAACAGCTAAAAAAGCTAAAACGAACTGGCGCGTAAACCTAAACTAGCAAAATTGTTGGAAAAGCTAAAAAGAAGAAACGCATTGCTAAAAACTAGCAAAGCCACAGACAAAAACTAAAACAGACAGACTTCCAGCTAAACATCCAGCATTACCAAAACACTAGCTACTGTAAAAGGCAGAATAAGCAACAACCCATAGCTAAAAGCTAAAATAACCAAATCTGTATCTAAAGCTATAAATAAGCAATACTGTAGCTAAAAGCTACCGTTAGCCAAAACAGCTAAATTCCAGCATTTGCAAAATTGTTGTTAAATGCTAAAATGAGCAAAACTATATCCAAAGCTAAAGTTAACAAAACTGTAGCTAAAGACTGAAATGAGCAAAATTGTAACTAAAGCTAAAATTAGCAAAAGTGTTGCAAAAGCTAAAACTGAAAAATCCATTAGTAAAATCTAGCAAAACCATATTTAAAAGGTAAAACTAACAAAAATGTAGCTTAAATCTAGTATTAGGAAAACAGTGGCTAAAAGCTAGAATTACCTAAACTGTAGCTAAAGACTAAAATTACCAAATTTTTATCTAAAAGCTTTTATCAAAATTATTATTAAAACCCAAAATTAGCAAAACAGTTAAACTTAGTAAAACTATTGCAAAAGCTAAAACTAACAGGTCTGTAGCTAAAAACTAGCACGACCATATCTAAAAGCTAAAACTAGCCAAACCACATAAAAGCTAAAATGGGTTGAAATGTAACTAACATCCAGCATTACCAAAACACTAGCTAAAAGACAGAATAAGCAACAACCCTAGCTAAAAGCTAAAATGACCAAATCTGTATCTAAAGCTATAAATAAGCAATAGCAGAAATAATAGCATAAATAGCAGAAAATGTAGCTAAAATCTACCATTAGCATAACAGTAGGTAAAAACTAAAATTAGCAAAGTTTTAGCTTAAAGCTAAGAACATAGTTAAAATCTAAAATTAGCAAGACTTTAACTAAAAACCAAAAAAGCTTAAAAAAGGTAAAACAGAACGAGTTTGATTTTAGAGAAAACTATTTTGAAGGAACCGAAGAGCTGTCCGTGTATTTCTAGGAGGAAAACGTTTGTAAATAAAATTAAATAATTCCAAAAGAATAGAAGTTACAAATACTGAAAGTCTCAGAGCACTAATCCTGACCGGGTCAGACAGTTTGATAAATGAGTGGCTAAAATAGCACAAAGTTTGTGGAAATAGTTTAATTACGAAAAAATGTAGGAAAGAATCTAAACCGTGGAACGGTGTGAATGCTGACTCAGCACTTTAGTGAAACAGTTCGTCTCCATCACCCATTAGCAGCCGACAGCCTTTAATTCTTTCAGTGCTGGGAGTCGGATACAATCAGGCGCGGTGGAAAGCATCTGATTTATTCTGTCGGCTGAAATAATGATCAGCCTTGTAGTGAGGAAGCAGAGCTTCACTCAGGGATGGATGTTCTGACGATGGAACCGGGCTCAGCTCTCTGAGCCTCACGTGTCTGTTGTACTCCTTCAAAATCGTTGTTCCCCATCTCGATACCTCTAAATCGTGTTAGAGGGTCTCAGGTCTGCCTACCAGCCGATGCACAGTAACATTGAGGGTGTGCTGAAGGTCAATGGCAGCCTGTGTGCTCCTGTCAGGGTGTGTAGAGGTGTCCAGCAGGGCTGTGCGCTCTCAGGAATGCTCCATGCGCTCTCCCTGGAACTCCTCCTTCAAAAGATCCATTCGAGTGTCCATGGTTTTGTTCCATCTGGTTTTAATAGTAATATAGTTTTATCCACCTATGCTGACGACGTTGTTGTTTAAAAACCAACAAGACGTCGACACTGAACAAGGTCACTGACCGTTTTTCCACCCTGTCTGCTGCGAGGGTGAACTGGGGAAAGAGCACAGCCCTCGCCGTGGGTGAGTGTCCGGAAGGGCTTCCAGTTCTCCCTCAAAAGCTCCTGTGGAAGAGAGATGGTCTCAGATATATCGGTGTCTATCTAGGGGATAAGGCTGTACAGAAAAACTGGGAAAATGTGGAACAGAAGGTCAAGAGTAAATTGGAAAAAGGAAATGACTGCACTCTCAAATGTCCTACAGAGGCAGAGTACTAGTGTTTAACAACCTAGTTGCATCACAACTGTGGCACAAAATACCTGTTTTAGACCCACCTCCAGGCCTGTTAGTAAAAATACAGTCTGCGATGGTAATTTTTTTTTTGGAACGGTCGACATTGGGTGCCACAGTCCGTCCTGTTCTTACTGAGACAGGAGGGGGGACAGGGCCTTGTCCACCTGGCCAGCAGAACGGCCACTTTTCGAATACAGTTCCTCCAGTTGTACCTGGCAGGACCTCCTGACACTGTGTGGAGGGACGTGGTCGCTGCATCCTTGGATGTGTGAGCAGGTTGGGGCTGGATGCTCTTTCTAACCAATGTTGGCCTTTTAACGTTAAAGAAGTTGCCCCAGTTTTATCAGTGTTTTCAAAGTGTTTTCCTTTTTTAAACCAAACAGATCAAAAACACATAATTCTCTGCAGTGGCTCTTAGAGGAACCACTAGTCTGTGAAGCGAGAATGGACATCTGTAATAGCACGGTGCCGGGTCTGTCAAAGGTACTGTGCGAGTTTGGGATGGTGACCCTGAGGCGGTTGGTGGAGACGACCGGACCAGACTTCTCCGACGTCCAAGAAGTGGTTTTGTTGCTTGGGGTCCAGTCTGCCAGACTAGTGCAGCGCTCCCTGGACCTGGTAAAGGAGAGGGTGACAGCTGGAGAGAAGCGTCTCCTGCAGCTGTGGTCCACGGGAAATCACCCTCCTGACCCAATGGACCCTTTTCCGGACATCCACCTGGATCCTAACTTTGTGAAAGACAGTGGTCCTCTTCTAGGCAACACAGACCCAAAGATGAACTTGTGCAGAACGGGTCCAAAAGCCCTTTACAAGACTTATGTTAAGATCCTGAACAAGAGAACTCTGCACAACAGAGCTGTCAGCGTGTGGGACGACAAGCCCGGAGGTCAGAAGCCCCAATGGAGGACTCTTACAAACTTCCAACAAAAAAACAGCCTGGCGATCTTCAATGGAGGATCCTTCACGGCTCAATTGCAACAAACTCTTTTTTTTTTGTCGGTCATTGGTCCTGAGGTTTTAAACCAGTGTCCTTTTTGCAGTTTGTCTGTGTTTTTTTCATGTTTGTACAGACTGCGTATGACTGACGGCTCTGTTTAATCTAATGACGAGGACCTTTAGTCTTTTTGACACAGTTTTCACCAAATCTGTTTTTATTAATGGAGTACATCACAGCAAAGACACTAAGTTTAAATCCCAAACTTTAAATTTTTAGTGGCCGAAGCAAAAATGGCTGTTATCTCTCAGGGACAGACTGCAGGCTGGACCCCAACTTGATGCCGTGGCTAAGTGGAAGTGAGACGTCAAGGCCAGACTGGTGCTGGAGGAGGTTTGCTTCCACAGAGACACTGGACACCTGGAGAATTATGTCAAACTGTGGGGATTTAAAAAGGTTTACGCACCATTTCTGATCAGGGAGAACTACAATACAACAAGCTCCTCATGTCACTATTTTATTTTAAGCTTGTCCTGATCAATTTTTTTTAACACTGTTGTGTTAACTTATTGTGTAAATAAAGTTTTGTTAAAAATCAAAATCTTGTTCTTCTTCTTTTGTTCTTGTTCCTCTTCTTGTTCTTGTTCTGCTTCTTATTGTTCTTGTTCCTCTTCTTCTTCTTCTTTTGTTCTTGTTCTTGTTGTTCTTCTTCTTGCTGTACATCCTAAATGTTCTTGAGTTATGGAAGAGTGCTCAGCCAGATGTTGGTAACCGACTTCTCTCTCTGTGGTTTCAGGGCAGGATCTTGTCCACCAAGGAGGTCGGCTTCTTCCCGAGCGATGCCGTGAGGCCGTGTCCGTGTGTAAGAACCCTTTACTTCCTGAAGTATTCAGCCGGGGAGCAGGAGGTGTTTTACCTGACAGACGCAGGAATAGAACAGCCCAGGAGTTCTCATGTTCTGAACTTGTCTCATGTCATTAAGTTTTAACCTGGAGCTGGTTTTGTTTTTTGTTGAACGAGTAAAGGTTCGAGTCAATAACAGAACCATGTGTCCACTTCTGTTCTTTGCTCCAGGTGCCGAAGCCCGTTGATTACTCCTCTCAACTTTGGTACGTAAGAACAATACGTTTTTCCCTGCAGAACAAAGATTCAACCTCAAGATGATTCACAATTTGACTTAAACATAAAGATTTACCTTCCTGCTTTGATCTAAATGTAAAGAAATTTAAATCCACCAGACATGGTTGTTAGAGCTAAAGAGGCAAAAGTCAAACTTCAGTTAGCAACATGCTAGCTAGTATAGCTAAAATTAGCAGAACAATAGCTAAAATGTAAAATGCTAAAATGGTATCTAAAAGCTAAAAGTAAAAGTAGCCAACAGTGACAAGTAGCAACATGGCAGATGAAAGCTAAAACTCGCAAAAGGCTAGCCAAATGCCAAAAGTAGCAAAAAGCTAGCTAAAAGCAGCAAAACAATCCCATAGCAAAAAAAGAGTTAGCTACAATTTGACAGTAGCAACAGGCTAACTAAGACTGCTAAAATTAACAATACTAGAATAGTAGATAAAAGTAAACGGTAGCTAAAAGAGACATTTAGCAAAATGGCATCTTAAAGGTTAAGGTAGCAAAAGGCTAGTTAAATGCTAAAAAGGCAAAACGTAGATAAAAGTAGCAAAAGGCTAATTAGAAGAGCTAGAAGCAGCAGAATGGTGGATAAAAACAAAATTTAGTAGAACAACAGCTAAAAAGTAAAAACAGTACATGGTAGCTCAAAGCTAACAGTAGCAAAATTCTAGCTAATTGCTTAATGTAGCTGTATTGTAGTTAAACAGTAAAAGTAGCTACAAGCTAACTATATAAGCTAAAAGGTAAAAATAGCAACAACCAAAAAAAGCTAAACGTTAAAAGTAGCTGATTGGCAGCTAAACATTGAATGGAGCATAAGAAGACAAAGTAGAGCCAATAGCTGATGCTGATTTAAAAAAGAAAATGTTTTTTGAAGGAGTTGAAGAGATCTCCACGTGTTTCTGGAGAAAATGTTTGTAAATAAAGTTTAGTATTTTAAAAAGTGTGAAAGTTACAAAAACCAAAAGTCAGAGTACCCATCTCCTGAAGGAGCCGAACGTTTTGATAAATAAACAGCTAAAATAGGACAAAGTCTGCTGAAGTAGTTAAACAGAATAGCAACAGTTGAATACTGAATCTGAATCCACCCAACTAAAAGGATCCAAGTTTTAAAGCATTGCTGAGTTGCTCCATTTATGTGAGCTGAACTCGTTTCCAAATCATTATCCCCACCCTCCCTCCTGAGGGTCCGTTAGGGTTTTTGTCAGCTTGATCACCTGGGAGAGGTTTACGGCACATGCCTCAAGCTGTAGCTTGGTAAAGCTCCTCAATTTAAAGGCTAAACATCTTCAGAACACTAGAAAACAAATCCAGTTGCTTATTTTTTCTACAGAACCTTCTAACGCAGCCATTAAAAGTAATGTTAATCTGTTAATCTGCTCCTGGTTCGGCTGCTGTAGGTTTGCAGGACCCATAGAGAGGTTTCAAGCCGAAGCTGAGCTCATCAACAGGGTCAACAGCACCTATCTGGTCCGCCATCGCAGCAAAGAGTTCTCAGAGTACGCTATCAGCATCAAGTAAGTCAAGCCAACATTATTTATGAAGCACATTTAAAACTGCAGCTGTTAGCAAAGTGCTTAACAGTAAAACCAATGGGAGTCATTTCATGGAAGAAAAAGTAACAATAAAAATAATGATAGTACTGAAAATTAATTAAAAGCATCTGAAGAAAAACAGAAACTCAGAGCAATAAAATACTAAATCAAGTATTTAGCTAGTATAAAAGTATAAAGTCTGTATGATATGCATATATATAGTATGATATAGCATACGAGTATAGGATACGTATACGATACATATACGATTGTATGCGAGTTTACGATACGTATACGATACATATACGATTGTATGCGAGTATACGATAATATGCAAGTATACGATACGTATATGATATGTATATGATACGTATACGATACTTATACGATATGTATAGGATATGTATATGATACGTATTCAATAGTATGCGATTATATGATATGTATACGATACGTATACGATATGTATATGATATGTGTACAATATGTATACGATAGTATGCGAGTATACTATACGTATACGATATATATACAATAGTATGCGAGTATACGATATGTATACGATACGTATATGTATCGTATACTATACGTATACGATACATATATGATACGTATACGAGTATACAATAGTATGCCCGTCTAAAGTAAGTCTGTTTTAAGAACCAACCCATGTCAGATGAAGTTAAGTTCCAGCTGTGCTGTCCCTCTGATTCATACTAATCTTCACATCTTTATAGTTTTGCTGTCTCTGTGTTTCCCGGCAGTTTTTCTGTTTCTCTGGCTGATTTATCCTTTAGTCCAACCACAGTATTGACCAGATGTAACTCCTGCCTACAGTCCATGAGCTGACAGGCCAATTTGTAGCTTCTCACACAGCCGACGTGCCTGCAGAGAGGCAGAGACGGCGGTTAACCACAGCGAGATGTGCAGCAGGGTCTCCGTTAGGTCAAAGATAATCGGCCTGGTTCAACACGAAGCCCAAAGAAATGTTTTAGAATTAAAATCAAACGGCTGCTTTTCAGCCTGGCAATAAAACGTTTACCAAAGCGTGCTCCAGATCCTCGTTTTTAGAGGCTGTTCAGCTCTTATTTACCAGAAGAAGAAAGAGCGGAAATATTCCTCAAAACTTTGTCTCAGCTTTTTTATTCCTCTTGCGGGGACTTTGTGTTCCTCCTTTGCCGAAAGTTTAATTTCACGTGTGCTCACGGCGTTGGAGCTGAGTAGAAGGTTCATGCTCGCCCGTTCAAGGTTATTAAAACCTCCTGAAAAATAAAACAACTCAGAGACGTTTTTATTATTAGTAGGTCTGCCCAAATATCCAAAAGCTCCTGGTTCTGTTTCATTAAACAATCTGAAAATAACACTACAAATGACGCGTTCTCACTAACAATTCAAGCAAAAACGGGATAGTTCAAATCGTTGAATTTGAGGTTCTGTTGTTCTTCTATCAACTCTGATCTCAAAGAATTAATAGTGTGTTCTGTAAATGTAATCTTTACATTGCTGTTAAATTCAGATTATGTCAGGATTCACATGGACATCTATGCATGTAAGTGCAAACAGCAGCAGCTTGAGGCACTTCCTGAGCATTTCCCCCCAAAGTAACTGTAAAATGTAATAAACTGCTAGCCGTTAGCTCGTCAACATGGTCAGAAGTAAACCTTTTTCTCTAAGTCTCCAGGGAAGCTGCTAATCGTTCAGAAACAGAACCCCCACTTCAAAAACAGTATGAATAAAGATCGAGGAAGCGACCTGGTTAGCTTCCACTGTCTAAAATCGAAGACAAAGTATCCAGTTTATGGGAGATGTCATGTTGAATTTTTGGTGGAGATGTGATGTTCGTGAACAAGCCGAATCTTTGGAACGACTCTTTAAAACGAACCGTAAGAACAGAGTTGCAGACAGTTGAGAACCGTTCCGTTTTCTTTCCCCCCTCGCGATACGAGGTTACATTCTACGTCACTGCAGACGGTAGGGACATCACTAACCAATCAGGATTGAACGGCTCATTGAAAGGAATGGAGCCACAAGATCCCATCGGATCCCATAACGAATCCCACAGATCCCATCTCTGCCGGTGTTTGAGCTCGACGCGAGGCTGTGCCATCGATACAGAAGTCCCGACTACAAACGGGGCTTCCTTTCTATGCCCTCGCCTGTCTTGCTGGGGATTGCGTGACGTTTGTACTCCCTCCACAGCAACACCCTTGAGGTCTCCAACCCTGGTCTTAGTGGTCCACCGTCCTGCAGGTTTTACTTGTTCCCCTGCTTCAGCACACCTGGCTGAAGTGAATGAGTCATTGACGGGCTTCTGCTAAACCTGACGACACTCTGAGTAGATAATTCCATTATTGGAATGGGGTGTGTTGAAGATGAAACATGCAGGACAGTGGGCCAGCAGGACCAGGGTTGGGGACCTCTGGACTAACGGACTGATGACGAAGACCAACTGGATTTTTATACGCCCGTCAAAGGCAGACATATTATGGTATACATACGTCTGAAAACTTTCTTTTGTCCAGGCCATAACTTCTGATCCACTCAAGATAATTTAATGAAACTTGATGCACATTTCTACCACCGCTACACGGAGTGTTGCTTAGTCTTTTCATCAACCCAGCTCCAAGGTCACAAATAAAGGTCAACTGCTATACAAGGTCTTGGCCATTGCTATAGATTCCTTTATTGCCGTTTGTAGACGAGCGTATAACGTGTTGTATGTGGTAATCTTGTTCTACAAAACTGCTGGTTGCATCTCTGTTGCTGAATCCTGTAAATGTTAGACAGCTATTATTTGTTTGAACAAAGTTTTTATTTTTATTATTTAAGCCATCGTTTTAATGCAAACGTGTTACTCGGGGACCACGTTTAGCTCCCATCATTCTGATGCACCACTCTTTGGGAGGCAGCGGGTTAGAGGAATGGCCCCGGCTCTCAGCGAGGGGCCAGGGGCCGGCGGCGGATCGATGGCTGTGATCAGAGAGGGAAATTACACTCATAACTTATTCACTGGCCCACAGGTACAACAACGACGTGAAGCACATAAAGATCCTTGCCAGGGACGGCTGCTACTACATCGCCGAGAACAAGAAGTTCAGGAGCATTATAGTGAGTCTGGGTTTTTCCACATTTATAAGTCCACCACTGCAGTTTATAAATAAACCATTCCTGGAATGAGATTTTGCACAAAAAGCCCAGATTTAAACCTGATCCGAGGGACTCTGGATCTGTAGGATCCCTCTTTTTGAACACAGATCTCTTATTAAAGACGAAAGAACTGTTCAGTCAAAACTGGACGTTGTTAGCCTGAAGTTGGAGACACATTCTCTGAAGTCATTTCACAGAGATGCTACTGGTACCAATCACAGTTTGTTCCAACGAGACTTATTGTGGGAATAATCAAAACGTTCAGCTCTTTCAGGAGAAGGGTGCTATGACTTTTGGTATTGGTGCAACTTTAGCTTTTTTTAATATTTAGCCTTTTCTGCCACTTTTTCCTCATAGAAAATGAACTGAGCTCATTTTACCTCCTTCAGATCTTTAGATGTGTTTACAACCTTTTACTGCTCCTTTCACATTTCGTTCTGCTTCAGCTTCTTTTAGCTTCCTTGTGCAAATTTAAACATTTTCAGCTACTTTCAGTTAATTTCAGCTGTTTTGTGTTCCTTTCAAATTCCTTCTGCTAACTCCATTTTACTGCTTTTTCTAAATTATTTCTGCTACTTTCAGCTTGTTATGCTCCTTTCAGTTTATTCATGCAAGTTTCAGCTTTTTCTGCTATTTCAGCTTCTATTTAGCCAGTTTTATGCTAATGTTAGCTTTTTAGGCTAATTCCACATTTTTTGCAGTCATTTCAACATTTGTCAGCCTAATTCAGCAAAAAAATGTGTTCTCTCCACTTCCTTCTGGTATTTTCAGCTTCTGTTATTTTGGCTACTTTTCAGCTGCTTTTAGCTAATTTCTGCTTTTTTCAACTAATATCCACTTTTTTTGCACTCATTTCTGCTTTCTTAAGCCTAACTGGGCAAACGTGTTATTTCTGCTTTCCTTCTGCTAATTTAAGCTTTTTCTAACTTTTCAGCTACCCTTTTAAGCAAATTTCAGCTGTTTTCAGATAAATTCAAGTTTCTCAAGGTCATTTCTGCTACTTTCAGCCCAATTAACTTATTTCTGCTCATTTCAGCTTGTTATGCTCCTTTCAGCTTTTTTCTGCCAGTTTCAGCTTTTTTTGCTCATTCAGCTACTATTTAGCTCTTTTTTATGTTAATTAGAGTTTTTCACCTTTTTTTTTAGCTCATTTCAGTGATTTCTATTTCCTTCTGGTAGTTTAAGCTTCTTTTTGCATTTTCACCTACTTTTCAGCTATTTTTGCTTTTGCTAATTTCAGCCTTTTTTAAGCCAATTTCCTAATGTTTATGCTAATTTCTGCTTATTTAAACATAATTCAGCTATTTTGTGTTCTTTCTGCTTTCTTCTGCTTATTTATGCTTGTTCTTCCATTTCGGCTACATTTCAGAATGTTTTTTAGCTAATTTCAGCTGTTTTTCAGCAAGATATTCTGCAATAAGCATTCACACTGCATTTTCGCAGGAAATGCACATTCTCTATAGTTTTATATTGAAAGTCACAAAAGCTAAAACAAACTCTTCTAAATGTTTGTAAATCCGTGGTAATATACACGTATTTTCACGAGGATGAGCCTCACGGTAAATGCAAACATCTTTAAATATACTTCTAAATTTATTTGTGCGTGTGCGCAGGAGCTGATCGAGTATTACCAACACCACTCCCTGAGGGAAGGGTTTAAGAGCCTGGACACCACCCTGCAGTTTCCTTATCGGGAACCGGAGAACGCTGCCGGGCACCGCTTCAACCGATCCGGTGGAAACAGTGAGTGAGCCAAAAAAAAACGTACTGACACTAAAAAAACAAAACACAAATCAAAAGTTCTCTCTTTGAATGAATTCATATCGCACGCCACGTGTTTGTGCAGAAGTTTTGAACTATATTTATTAGAGCTCTAGGGCTTAGTTCAACCTTAAAAAAATGTTGGGCACAGTCTCACACAGTTAAGCCAGATCCTGTTCAATCTCTTAGCCCTTTGAGAATGTGACAGGGATGACTCTCGGCTACTACCACACTAAATCTTAGCTCAGTATCAGTAAAATTGACTGAGGTGTAGATGTTTATGTGTTGGCTAAGTTTGATTAGCGGTAGCATGCCTCTTAAATAAAGCTGACTCTTAGGTGTAGAGCGACAACCAGTGAGTTTTATTCAAATCTGTTCAGTAGGTGATGAGATATTTTGCTAACAGGCAGGACAAAGAAATGAACACATGCACATACAGACAAAGGTGATTACAGGATTGCCCACCATTCATGGAAGAGATAGATAATCTATAACGTATTTATTCAGAAGAGGTTGTCCCATCCGGTTCATCGGATAACTTTGAAAAAAGCAACACGCCGACCTCCGTTTGGAGTGTGGCCACATCTGGGAGTAGGAAAGGTCACAATCGAAAATTTGGTTGCCATTTCGAAATCTTTTGCCTGAGGTGGAGGAGTTAAAGTATCTGGGCATCTTGTTCACGAGTGATGGTGGGAAGGAGCGAGATTGGGGCCTCGTCCTCAGTAATGAGGGCGTTGCTTTGGTCGGTCGTGGTGAAGAAAGAGTTGAGTCGAAAGGCAAAGCTCCGGATTTACTGCTCTGTCTACGTTCCAACCCTCACCTGTGGTCACGAGGTTTGGATCGTGACTGAAAGAACGAGATCCCAGATACAAGCAGTCAAAAGGGTTTCCTACGCAGGGCTCAGCCTGAGAGAGAGGGTGAGGAGCTCCATCACCTGGCGGGAGCTCCGAGTATTGAAAGGAGTCAGTTAAGGTAGTTCATTTGATTAGGATGCCTCCTGGGCGCCTCCCTTTAGAGGTTTTCCAGACATGTCCCACTGATCGGAGGCTCCAGGAAAGACCCAGAACTCTCTGGAGGGTTGGTGGATCTTTGACCTGGGAACCCTCGGGGTCCCTCAGAACGAGCTGGGAAGTGTAGCTGGGGTTTCTCTCCTGGACCTGTTGCCTCCGCGACTCGACCACAGATAAGAGGTGGGAGATAGATGGAAAAACATTAAGGCGTTCAACTCCAGTCCAGAAACACTCGAACCTAAATCCCTCGGCGACGGGGATCATCGGCGTTCTGCTTGTTCACTAAAACAAGTTGCTTAGATCAGGTGACCATTTGAACCCGATCACACAATTTGCGTTTCTCTTTGCTTTCTTTTATTTTAACATTTTGTGTATCGCAACGTTCAGCTCGATCCGGAGTCGTGTGCTGTGACTGGTAATTTTGTATCTTTCATACATTTCAGATCGTTAAACTATTTAAAGTAAAAATCACAGAATGGCATTAAAGGCTCAACCTTCATTAGCATTCCTCTCTTTGAAATCTACTTCAGCTAACATGTCAGTAAAAGCTCAAATTAGCAAGACAGTAGCTAAAAGATCTTAAGAAGACAAAACTTGAGCTAAAGTAAATTTCAGAGAATCGTTTGGTAGGAACTGAAAAGAATGAAAAATGTTGTACAGGCTCTTTGCTTGTCCAGGCCATTGCCATAGTTTGTTGTATAATTGTTTGTTGACGGGCCGTATAATGTGCCATATATGCTACTCTTGTTGTAAATAATAAGAATATTATAAAAGTTACAAACAGTAAAAGTTAGAGCACTCTGTCATTAATTGAGATGAACATTTTGATATAAGAATGGGCCAAGTAGCTCAAAGTATGTGGAAGTAGTTTGATTGCAAAGAACATGTGGAAAAAAACAACACCACTACAATGTATTTTCCTGTGAGAATGCAGCGTGAATGTTTATTGCTGATTTTTGTTGAAAGCTGCTGAAGAAGCTGAAACCAGGCTGAAAGAGTTTCATCGCTAAACGTAATGAGTTGAACCTGAACAGCTGAAATTTGCTGAAAAAACAGCAGAAACATGGAGCAAAAATGAACAAAATAAGTTGAAATAGGCAAAAAGAAGCTGAAAAGATTACAAATAAATCTTAAACTAGTCCCCCCCCCCCCAAACAATAAAGAGAATATGAAAAGGCTAAAAAAAGCTGAAATTAGCTAAAAAGGATGAAAGGAGTATTAAGAGTAAGTTATTAGAAGCACAGAAGTTAGGAAATTAGAGAAAAAAAAGAAACAGCTTAAAATTAGCAGAAAATACCTAAAATTTTGCTGAAAGAGCTGGGAAAAAAAGCCGAAAGAAGCTGAGAAGAGCAGAAAAATAGCTGAAATGAGCTGATGGAAGCTGAGAAGAGCAGAAAATTAGCTGAAATGAGCTGAAATGAGCTGATGGAAGCTGAAATTAGCAGAAAGAAGCTGTAAAGAGCAGAAAATTAGCTGAAAATATT